TCCTTTAAATTTATATTTGTTATTTAATTTTAATTAAGTTTTTAAATATATTTTAAGGATAGTAAAAAATAAAAATAATCTACGGGTACAGCACAACCAAACACAACACTACAAACGGGAAGCCTGAGTTGTATTTAAATTTACCAAAAAAATTTTGATTTAATATTTGAAGCCATTAAATAATTTTTTTTCTGTTGTAATACATTTGGATTGATAGGGGAGTGAAAATTTTTTCTTTTATTTGGTAATTAAAAAATTAAAGAGAAGGAGAAGAGAAGGAAAAAAAGTCATTTATTTTATTGTTTCTTTTAATTAATTTATTTATTCACAATCAAAGGGAGGAGTATTCCTTTGTACCAAAATGATAAATACGTTTTAATTTTATCTTTAATTGAACGATTTTAATTAGGATAATTTTTATTTTTACTTATTTTATCTCTAAAAAATTAAAAATAAAAAGATTTTTTTATGATAAGTTAAATAATTACAGTTAATCCTTTTGTCTCAAAATAATTGTCTTTATTATTATCTATTTACTATAATTATCATCCTATCATAAAAAACCTATCCTTATCTTTTATTATTGCTATATTTTTTTACTATTAATTATGTGATTTGGTGGTAGAATTATCTATATTTTTAATTATAAATTTAATGTTCAATCCTTAATTTCTACGTATCAAAAAAAAAAATTTATTATTTTTGTTAGAGTAATATAACTATAGTATATAAATTGACTACACGAATCTCAAATTTAAGAAAAAAAAATCAAAATACGATATTTATTTTGGGATAAAAGAAGTAAGAGATAATAATAAGGGTTGATAAAAAGAAAAAAGATGGTGATAAAATTAAAATAATAAAAAAAATCTCTCTCTTAAAACATAAAAAGGAAAATGATGTGTGCACACCCAAATCTAATACCCGGGTGTACAAATTATATATAAAAAAAAATGCCCATCACCCGGTCCATCCTTTTTTTTTTTTTTTTTTTATGTGGGGGTGCACACCCGGATGTTGAATTCATATATGCATCAATCATTGTCCATATAAAAAACATCTGCTATTATTTTAAAATAAATTTCAAATTAAAAAATAGTTATTATTCTAAAACAAATGAAATGAAATACTAAATGCATACCGTAAGGTTAGACTTTTTTGATGGAATTGTAAAGTTGGATGGTCTAAAGTAAAACTTAAGCTTACATATCAAGAGAAAAAAAGAGTAAGACGTAAGCTCATCTTGTGTTGTAGGGATATTCTTCTTCTCTTGAAAGTGAAAAGTAAACGCAAACTTCGTTCTGAAAAAATATGGAGTGAAGGAAGAGTACTATTTCATTATTGAAAGTTCAAAGACTTGAATTACAATCCAAAATATTTAATAATATCAAACTTAAACCAGCAAGCAACCCATTTCAGAGAAAAAATAAACAAATAACTGCATGTTTGCATTGGGTCTGCCTTCGGAATTTGGATACTTATAGTCTTATGGCATGATACTTATTACTTACTATTCCAATCAGGCCAGATCGGCAGTCCTTCCAAGGAAAGAGACAATGCTGAAATCTTTCAAATTATCTAAAGGATAAGCATTGTTAAGTGATAAAATTTTACATTAAGATATAATAAAAAATTTGTGTGACTTAAATATAAAGAGAATTATTTTATATATTATTAATTAATTTTAAATTAGATGTAATATACATAATTTGTACATGATATCATAACTCACCTGATAAGATTTAAAGTTAAAATCACACATTAACGAGGTATCATAAGAAACATATATGATTTAAATATAAAAAATTACTACAAATGACTTAAATATGAATTAAATATATACATGTAATTTGAACTATTAAGAAAGAAATACTGAATGTGAGAAAGCTCCTGGTGTTAAAAGATCTCCCAACACATAAATAAAAAGATGATAGTACAAACCTTTATTTTTTTAATTTAAGTTCTTATTATTAAACTAGTGAATTTGATAATTTTACTTAATTTTAAAATTTTTATTTATTATTTTATAGATATTATGAAGTATGAATACATAAATCAGTATTTTGGTAGTAAAAAAAACAAAAACCTCTACACAGATTATACTTCAAATAGACTCAAGATTTTCAACATTTTTTTTTTTAATGTTTGTTGGGATCGGGAAAGTTTATTGATTATTGTGATTTGTGAGAAGAATCAGTTTAATCGTTTCTTTTTTTTCTTTCGATCTAGCCTCGGTACAGCTGATTGTGGAAATTTCAGTAATTAATTAACAAAAGTCAGTTAATTAGCCTATAAAAAAATCATTTAATTTCCTTAAGTAAGCTTGCTGTAGCATGGACAAACATAACAAAGCCAAATTATTAACCACATATGGCTTCTGACGGCTACTCTTTCAGGACCTACAGCGAAGCAGATCATGAGCTCGAGGAGAAGGCATATAGAAGACAGACCCTTAAGCGACTCATCATCATCGGACTCTCCACCGCCGTTTTCATTGCCGTCACTATCAGTGCGGTGGTGGGGATGGTTGTACCACAGAAGAACACCGAATCATGTGCATCGAAGCCAATTACTCCTAATTGGTGGCCGCCTCCTTCAACAGCCGCATCAGGCCAGTCCATTCAAGACATGTGCAACACCATGACTCTCTATCCTTCCTCCTGCACTTCAAGCATAACTTCTATTCTAGGTTCAGACAATAATTCCGACCTAAAGCTTGACCTCAAAC